TTTCAAAGTAAAAAAGACGGGTTTAGGTAGCAGATGACGGGTGCGCAACAGTCAGACTGGGTAGTGCAAGTAGTTAATGCACTCACCATGGCCTGATTGCTCCGTCATCATCTTGTCCTACCAAACCACTCTCTATTCCTCCCCCAAATTCAGCTGCTTCCTCCTCCTGTTCCGCGTCGCCACATCCCGCATTCCTGCTGACTACAGACTCGACGCCAACCGCGGATGGCAGAACATCATACTGCTGCACTCTGCAATCATTCATTGTACGCACATTGCTGAAAGGATTTTCAAGGAGACGAGACATCTTCCCTAAACAGAGCTTCGTGCAGCAACGATGCACTTCATGCAGATGGAACAACAAAAACATAACGACGAACAACGATGTGGGAGAAAGGACGATGCCTACAAGTAAAAAAAGCGATGTGTCTGTTAGACTATAATCCTGTCTGCATATACTCGCATAATTATTATAAGCCTGGAGAAGTCGGAAAGATGAAAGACTACATTGCAGTGAGCAGTGATTTAAATGAAGTCACGAGGTGCATGAAGTGATATAATGCAAGCACTTACCAAGTAACAGTTAAAGTTCGGGACGCAGCAAATCCAGGGCATTGAAATCATCTCACAGAATTTGCAGGCATAGTCCGCGCATCGTTTGCAGCGTCATAATTAATGACTTAGGTGAACTCGAATGCGTGAGGGTTATCGATCTTGTGCAAATCGCCGTTCAACTGCCAAGATGTCAGTTTGGCGGCCGAACGTGTGCACGTGAATGCGCGAGGCAAAGTTTGGTGGTCTAGGAAGCTTCTGATCCAACGGAGTCCTTAGATTTCTCAACTGTCATCAGTTGGTTGAGGCTTTTTGCAGCGTTTGCTTGCACTGCGCCGAAGTGCAGATCAGCAAGGACTTGGCGAGGCCTCAGACTGTAGGCATGTTTAATGGGAATGACTGCTGTGTCTATGGAACAATAGTTAAGATTTTATATGCGGCAGTTGTACATATTCCAAACACAGCAAGTGTTTGAGTTTCAGTTTATTTGAGGGAAATATAGGTGTTGAACCTTTGAACTCCCTATTTGTTACAAGGAAGCGAACTATATCAAAAAGTTGAAATGGAAACATCAAGCAGCTACAGAGTGTCTTCAGATTGGTAAAGTTTTCAAACCAGACAGATAAACGCATTTTTCCAAGTGTTACAAACATTAACGTTACTAACTGTGCTGTACAGTAGTCTGTCTATGGATAATTGGTGCTATCCCAGTTTCTGAGGTGGACGAATTGAATGCCAACACCCACGTTCCACAGACATGGGACATTTTTATCTTACGACCAGGACAACTATTCCGCAAACTTCATCTTCTACTGGAATTTCGCCTTGATCTGCACCACCTCCAGTTCCAAAACACTGTCTCAAAGGGCTTTTTATTGTTCCCGTGCAACATCTACCAAAGGTTCAGTCGATTATTTCTTATTACTATTTATGCTTGTTGCGCTGCTTTTAGTCAATTCCTTAACAACCGTTAAACTTAAATTTAGTTAAATCGCTCATCACACCTTCCACTCTCAAGTTATTTTGACAGACCAATATAAAACGGTTACTTCTTTAATTCGTTTACGAAGATTTTCCTTTTTACATAATTTAAAAAAGCACTACGAACGTGTGCGCTGCTGCTCGAAAAGTGCCAGCTCCATGAGAAGTCCCCTTGCGTCAGCCTGTTTCCCTTTAGTACTGTTATATAATGTCGTTCCTTGGAAGTGTTGGCGTTTAATTTAGGAAATCTATGAATAATGATATATTGCTCTCCGTCGATCTCGCTAGTATTTTCTGTTGGTGTGTTGCTGTCTAGAGAGGTGTGGTAGTTTGGAGATATAGGGCGGTGATGACAAAACTGATGGTTTTTCGCGGTTATATTTTTCGATCACGGTCTTGACAGGCCTGTATGAAGCCGCTAGCGTGAAGCGCGGTGTATAATGGTCTGCAGATTCGATAGTTGTTTAAGTTTGGCTCGATGAAGTGCTTATGACCCATCTGGTAGAACCTAGGGGTGGACCAGTTGTGCCAGGTTCGTGATCGCATAATTTTGTTTCCGGTCCCAGCTGGGGTTAGGGTTATGATTGGCTCAATGAAGACAAGCAAGTCCGAAACAGTGCTCTGTTAATTCGCCCCCAGACTTTGTAGTCTCCTTTATGATATATATATGTTAAATTATTTCCGGGGCACTCATGAACAGTTAGTGCAGGCGCTGTCAGTCCAAACAGGCTCGGTTTCCGTGGGATTCTTGGCTTTTACACACTTTATTTACGCAAGAAGTGCTCCTTTAAGAACTCTTTTTCGCTGGACATTAATGCAGTCCTAAAATAAGTCAGATATTCTGGCTGCATTATTATCGTTATTTGCAGAGGCTAAACGCGATTCTCAAAATACGCAGACAGAACAAATTCGAAAATCTCCGATAATATAAAATCGACTGGGATTTAGTGTTAAGCAGAGCAAGAAAAATTGTAACTGATCAGAAAATTTGCTATCCAGGCAGCATTCATTAGCTCCATGTAAGCAGTATCAAAATAAAACGGTGGAGGTTATCCTACTCGCCCGCAGTTGACAGCACACACCAAAAGCTAATTGTCAAATACGTCTTTTAGTCTGAGCGATGTTCACCTAAATTGCAAAGTGTATAATGTGGCGTAGACAACCAGAATATTGGTTAATCTTCATATAGGAGACATTTTGAAAACGGAAACTATGCACTGCGCATTTGTACAAAGGCACTATCTCCAAATTACACTTACATTCCATATTCACATACAGAGACACCTGACCCATTTGACATAAATGAAACTGAACATATGTTACAGTCGTTTCTTTTACTTTAATTTACAGTAGGTGGGCTTATTCATGAATATCAACCGAAGATCTGAAATGCGTTTTCGTTTCCAAAAGATTAATTAAGTGGTTTTGTATAAGTAAACAGCCTGCAGCTTAAGGCCATAATAACTCGGTTATCTCAGATTAGAGAGCCTACTCACTACAGATGTAACGGTCGTTGCAGGGCCCCAAACCATCTGCCGTCCATTGAGGTGTCGGTTAGCCCGTAATTAAGCTGCCCCTCTTCGCTAGGTTCTTGACGTCCCGAGAAGCGAAACATTACTAGCCCAAGGCCTCAGGCTGGGAATGTGTTGACCTGGATTTTGTTTATGACTTCTGAAAGAAGGTGGACATCGGGTACTGCAAGGCCCAGTCTGGGAAGTCAAAAATATCCCCACTGGCGAGAGTGGGATAGGATGATGTATCTAGATTCTAGATCATCGCCCTTCAGACCACCGTTGAAGAAAGCACCTCGTCGTCCCAGGAGCATAATGCTTACCGAAAGGCAGGACGCACAATTTAACAAAATGTCCCAGTTCACCGTACCGGATAAATAAATGAAACGAAATACCGCTCTAAATAACTGTCAAAATAGTGTCCATCGCGCCTATTGGTGAACACGAACACTTCTGCTGTTGACTTGAACTCTAACCTCTAAAGGGAAACACTTGATGTTAAGTTAAGGAAAACCACCCAGACGAACAAAGCCGTCATTCGATGCGGTGGGGAGTGAAACGTCAGTGCTGTTTTTAAAAATAATGAGAATCAATCTGGAGGTAAGGAGTTTGAGCGCGCGAAACACGATAACCTCCATTCTCTACTACTTATGACATGCCTCATCGGCAACTGTCGGCCTAATATGCATTAAGCGGCGTCCAGGAATAGCCAAAAGACGACCAGGGAGGTTTTCACTGATGGTAATTAATAAGAGCACCCAACTAGAGCAGATGTCCAAAGATTGACAGTCCAATACATTTATTTCTGATGTTGCTTAAAACCCATGTAGTCAAACACCGACAACAATTTATTTCTTCCAAACAACGAAGAGATGGAGGAATGAGGCTAAGATGAAATTTTTGACAGGTTGGTCAATCAACGATCCAACCTTATGGGGTGCTTGAATGCCGTATTCTGTTGACAGGCGTCCGTGTACTTTGCGTTTTCATACGGTGGAACCGAGAAAAGGGAT